ATGACAAAGCGTTGTGTTATAGTCACATCTATAGTGAGAGAATAGTTCATAACTGCAGATTGTGTCGTGTTGCAGGCACATCCACAGTTAGGGGGTGTCATTCACTATGAGGGTATAACATATTGATCTGTTTTCGCCATGTCCACAGTGGGGGGGTATTACTGATGATACAGCGTTGTGTTATAGTCATCTAGAATGAGGGGATAGCACATAACAGAAGATAGTGGGTGGTATTGTAGGCATATCTACAGTGAGGGGGTGTCATTCACTGTGAGGGGATAGCATATTGCTATGCTTTTGCCACGTCCACCATGAGGGGAGAACATTGCGGGTGACATAGCGTTGTGTTATAGTCACATCTACAATAAGGGTAGTACATAACTGAAGACAGTACTAGTACATAACTAAGGATAGTGTGTGTTGAAGGAAACAGTGAGGGGGGGTCCAGGTGCGTTTAGCCATATCCTCAGCGAGGGGACGACATAATGCCGATGGTAGAGCGTTTCAGTTACATACACAGTGATGGAATGATTCACTGCTTATGATAGTGTTGCGTTGTAGTCTCAAGCATTTGAAAGAAGAGTATAGTAGTCAACATTCGTATAAAATCATAGGATATGTATGTAAGTAATGGGGGATTCGAATTTGTATTGCGTTAGAACGGGCGCCAATGCGACCTGTGAAGAGCAATGTACGGGGTGTAGATCGCATTGATGATTTCTACACAATTCCAGTCGCTGCAGAATCCTCAGAAGGTTGTATCGCGTGTCAAGTGAACTTTCATGAATAGGCCATACGAGGAACTGAGTGAAGTCATATATTGGGGGGTCAAGTGGTGTCAAGACTAGTGTTCATGTGGTTTTATACACTCTTCTTGAATACATGCGCCCTCATTCGGTATCTAGGAGGAGTATACAAGACGAATCACATTATAATCGACAAGTTGAATGTTGTTTTCATCTCAGATAGAGCTTAGGTGTTGATGCAAACACAATGCACACTCCTCCATGATGAATAGATATACTAGTAAGCAGTCATGTTGAGGATGTATGATCCCCGAAACTCATAACCACCAGCAGGGCCATGACATTGTATTATAGTATGCTATTGCTGCGTGAGAGTACTCATCCTTTAGTGTTTTGATATACTTAATGCTCCTCATAAGCTTGCTGCAGTCTACGAGTATCAACGTGCATGCTCGAAATGCGTGGGAAATGACTTGCTTGGTCGAGCCCCGATCAATATACCTTATTCAGGAACATTTGTGTGTATAGAGGAAGGTAGCCTTGTCTTGGTTGTGAAGTACACATCAATGCAAGAACTCTTCGAGTCGCGTGGACAGTTTCAAGTTGGCTGCAAATCAAAAGTGGTAAAAAATGTGGTCGTGGTGAGGATCGAACTCACGCAGAATATACTTTCGGTACAGTTACGTAGTTACGTACCTAGACCTCTCGGCTATGATGCAAGTACGTTTGAATAGAAAGGTCTACAGTACGGGTATGTGTATGGAGCTCGACGACGACGACACCAACCAGTATTTTTATTGTATTTTTATATAATATCATTGGCTTCCAGGAGATCAAAAATACACGACCAAGCCTGACAGCCAATAAGAACACTACGTTGGATACCACATGGTTTGAATTATACGGATATGTATAATGAAACCAAGATAAAAAAGTTCAAGGAGGGAGGGCAATTAGGAGGGAGCAAAATCTCGAGTTTGGCCACTTGGTCGACAAAGACGTAATATATACTACAGGTACAAATAAATGCACTGTACGTGGAAACGTTAACATATACTAACGTTAGTACTAAGGGCCTGGTCTGTGACAAATTGTTCCTGCTTTCAGCCATTCCTGCTTTGTACGGATAAATTTTATTCGGATAGTGCCCAATTACCTGGTCTGGGAAGCCATTCCTGCTTTTGGTGTTCCTGCTTCGAATGGTTGCGAGTGCCATGGATAGCTTGAGAGGTGTTGTTGCCGCAGTTGCCGCGGTTGTGTGTGCTGTATGCATTTCTTTAGCTACCAGCTCGACCTCTTCGAAGTACAACATTCTGACTATTACGAATGTCAACTTTGATGACATGCTTGGTGACCCTCGATATGAGCAATGGTTTCTTGACAGCCTTCGTTGTGACCAACGAGCGTTCTGTAGGATAGTTGTGTGGCTTCGCCGCCGAAACCCCGAAGCCAGAAAAAAGTACTCCCGACGTCGTTCGGTCCACTCGTTTGAAACAAAAGTTGCTGTCTTTCTCTATTTTTTGGGTTCTGAGGGAGGATACCGTGAAACCGCTGGTGCATTTGGTATGGCTAGGTCTTGGTGTGTGACTGTGGTTTCGACTTTTGCCAATGTTGTCTCCTCTAATGCAAACAAGTGGATTCATTTCCCTATGGACTCTCGTGCATGGCATCGTGTCGAAGGTGGATTTTATAAAGTTCAAAGAATTCCTGGTGTTGTTGGAGCTGTTGATGGCACTCTGATTGATATACAGCGACCATTGGAGTATGATGGATTTTACAATCGAAATGGTGATCCCTCATTGAATGTGCAAGCGATTGTTGATTCGCGAATGGTATTTACGTCTGTGGATATTCGTCCCGGTTCATTTTCCGACAAAAATATTTGGAAAGTATCTATAGTTGGTCAGACGATTCGACGACTTTTGCCGACTGGATGTTTTCTGCTTGGTGATCCTGGATACACGTTGCTTCCTTGGCTGTTAATGCCATTTTTGCCGCATGAGGAACGTGGAGTGTTGACAAAAGTTCAAAATCATTTCAATTTTAGATTGTCAAGTACTCGTATGGTTGTTGAATGTGCTCTTGGCCGTTTGAAAGAACGATTTAGAATTCTGAAAACAGTGATGAATGAAACATCTCTCGAACAAACTGTTGCGGTAACTACATGTTGTTTTGTGTTGCATAACATGTTAATTCATTTCAATGACGGACTCTTTTCTGAACCGTGCCCCCGGCGTGACAGAAATTTGTATTTTCAAGCTGCTGATCCAAGTGAAACTGAAGCAAATCCTCTCATTCGCAAGACTGCAGTGTTGAAACGTCGTGGAATAGCTAGTATTTTTTTAACAGAAAAATACTTTGCAACCACCGTTACATTATTTGTTTGTTACTTGCGTGCAACCAAATGAGCAAGGAGTTGCGCCATAGTGTCAGATTGGCCCTGAATTGCACACAATACATCGTCCAGAGTTGCGCTGGAAGCAGGTGGGGGCGGAGGACTCGGTGTCGTAGCAGACAGCGACGTTCCCAAGTGAATAAGTCCCTCCTTTATGGCGAGAAAGCCGGCTTCCAACGCCCCGCCTTGACTAGAGGCTTTCGTAACTTTTTCGCGCTTTTTACGACGCTCTGGGGGCTTGTCGCTGTCGTAGTCATCGTCCGAACTATGCTCACGCTTTACTTGGGCTTCTAAATTATTAATAAACATTTACTTGTGTGGTAAAAATACATATATTTGCGATATATTTCTACCGTCCGAAGAGTTTGTGGCATCGGTAATGATTGCGTCGGTAGACATGAGCGATTCCCGTTGGTACCCCTTTTTCGACCCCGAAAACTCCAACATAATGTCGTAATGGGGGGGCAAGGGGGCCACGGGAGCGTTCCCAGTATCGCTGGGGTTCGAGGGCTTCGTCATCGCCCACGTTGTCTTCAATTTCGAGAACTAAAACACATCAATCAAACGACAAAATCAAACTTTCGTACCTTGTCCTGGACCTAAGCCACGGTGTAATCGCTTTCGATGGCGACGCTCAGCTCCGCCGCCAACATCACGTACGCCGTCTTCTTCTCGGCGTTGTTCTTGGACTCGAACATTTTTGCCAAATGCGAGTCGTAACGAAGGCGAAAGAGTGTCGCCACACTCTCATCGCACCACCGGCCAGAGCGTTTGGTCTCCGAGGACGCTTTCTTCTCCTTGCTCTTGCCTGCCTTGGCCTTCGGGGTGGCAGCATCTATGGTTTTATGTGTGACGCATGATATGTATGTATGTGTTGCTTCAACCTAACACCATCTCTGCCGGCGGTTGGACCTCATGGTCAGACATGGCTGACTTGGTCGCACAAAAGCGTGCGAAAAGCAGGAATGACTGGTTACATGCAGGGATGGAGAGTCCATGCTTTTCATGACACGAAAAGCAAGGCGTACAT